TCTTGAGTTATTTAAAATAATAAATGAATTTATAGTAGGTAATAAATATCTTTTCATATTTTTTTTATTAGGAAGATCTTTTTAATTCACATTTTTATGAATTTATTCATATCCATTTATGGACAAGTGCAGAAGTTCTTCAAAAATGGTAAAATATTTCTGACATTTTGACAAAAGAAATAACGAAATGCGGCATCTCAAAAAGCTGAATTTTGTTCTTTCTTTATAAACAACCATATAGACTAGTGGATGCATTATTTACAATTTGTGGTATATTAAAATGAAACAAACTTAATCTAGTTACCTTGACCCAACCCCTGTTAATAAAAATAGTCATGCGTAAATTTATGTCATCAGTGAGGAAGATCTACCATAAAATAGGTTAAGTGCCAGACACAAGAAACAAATAAGTCACACCCGCATTCCCCTTCCCCTGATTTCATCAAAACTTCTGTAATATGCCGTTGTATATCTTCTTAAATTAAGATCTATCAATGAGAGGAGGCGTTGGACAGAGGAGGTAGCCCATTGGTAGATCAGCTGCAGGGCTGACCAATTGTCAGTGGCGGACGTCGCATGGGTCGAAGGTACACTCAACGCCGATTGGTTGTCCTCCCAAGAGGTGGGTAAAAAGGAGGCACAATAGGCAATTGACCAAATTGTCGATTTCCGAGGTCTCGGTCCTGTGTGGCTACTTTCGACTCCATCAACTTTCTCATCTAGTTTGTAAGCTGTCTCAAATTGTGTGCATTTATATTTATTAAAGCAATATTTATGCCCAAGTCCATGATTTACTTGATAAAATCAGATTTACTAACCTCAGATCTTATCTACCTTATTTATTACTACCAAGAAGTCGAACATAAGGACTTTTTAACTGAGAGAAGTAACAAAAATTTCATATTCAGTTAATAAGTGAGATATTGCTGCTGTCTCGTTATTACAACATTAAAATATTCGTAAAATAATAATGAAAAACAGTCGTGTTAGGATTATTTCTAGTCCTACCCTATAAATTATCAAAATTTATTTTTTTTCTGTATTTGAGAATAAATCATTCTTTATTTTTACTATTCGAAGCAAAATTCTTGTCCGTAAGATGTTGATTGGTCAGTCGTTATTGTCTAGATCATCTTTAAGCATCATTAAAATTTATTTTTTTATTTTTTTATTATTTAATTCACTTATTTGACCGCATTTGCTCGGTTTACATCACTACCATTTTATTATCTGTATAAATTTTTCATGAAATGGCAATACTCTACAAAAGGGGCTCTCTGTTTAACACCTTTCAATGTTTAATTTCTAAAGGAATTTTTTCTTAAATTAAATGCCCAATTTAATTAGCACTTCATATCACTATGTAGGATTTGTTAATACGTACATCAGTGTAAAATTATGTCAAAGTTTAACCCTTTTATCTCTCAAATCCTCCCATCAGTGCATCGGTCAGGTAGGACTTGTACCGAAAAAAATAGGTTGCATGGTAGCAAATTTGATCTATTCATTTATCATTGGCGCAGCATAAAGCCAACATAATAAAAATGTCTCCCAAATTCCCTTTTTAAATGCCAGACCAACACGATTCCAGCTATGAGTAGGAAATTGTACTTGCATTTGGATTTTTATCCTTGTTCTTCCTAGTTGTCATACGAAGAAAGTGTAAATTAACCAATTTAGACGGCCGAGTGGGTGGTGGAGTTGAGTTTCTTTTTTATTTCATTTTCCAACATCCGGCTCAAATAAGACGATATGTATTTATTTTTAATATATTTTCACAACAAAGCGAATTTATTACTACTTTCGATATTACGGTTAGTAATCTACAGAAGATTGAATTTTTGACAGGTTATATGACTTAACTAGCTGGGATTCACCGTATGTAAAGGTTATGTGTAAAAAGTTGATGATAAAACATGTGATCATTAAATCATTTCTCATACACACTACTATATGTTTAATTTAATGATCTGCATGTTGGTGAATTGCCTTTTAATCTGCAAGTAAATTGGATTCAACGATATATCTAACAGCATAGCTGCATGAACTTTGATGCACTAGGTCAATGGGCCTCAGTAAACATTTCCCAAATTCTTTTAGGGCAATTTAAAAAGAGATTCATAAATTGGCAATATGCGCCATTTTGTAGATATTTTGGCCAACTCGGAGCTAATTTAAATGTTCTCCTAATTTTATATCACTATTTACTTAGCCCCCCCCCCTCTAATTATTTATTAATCATGAAGATAATATATGATTATCGATTTCCCAAAATAGAGGTACTTAGAGATAAATTTATTATTTTGACAGGTCATCGACCATTCAAAATTAAAATAGTCTTGATGGCAATCAATTTTATTTATTTAGGCTGATGTAAAGTCTGTTAAGAGCGCAGTACAAATTTTATAAGATGAATCTTTATATTCAATTAATTTCTTTATTTTAAGTAACGTCGATAAGATATGAATTTTTTTTGAGAAATGACAGGGATATGCTTAAAAAGTCATTTTCATTTATCTATAAAAGTGTTTGGCTACTTCACATTACACAGTTACTTTATTTCATTTTTGTGAATGCATTCATCCCAACTGCATACATAATATTAGTAAAGTATTTTAATATTACAGATTAATGAATTAAATTTGACTACATATTACTTCTGAATTGAGGTTTAAATTAAGATCATTAATTAATCGATCGAAAAGTGTAATTATTCAATGTTTGTACCTTCTGAAAGTACCTTTAAGTTCGGTTGTATTAAATTACTACATGTTCTTGAAATTATTAATTCCCGCGCATTATCTGAAAAATTTTGAAAATTATTGCTACTGAAAACATTTAACTAGTAATTCAATATAACTAAAAAGTGTTCGATGATGGCATCTGCAATATTTCTTGAAACATAAATATTCTTAAATTGATTATCTCCAGTTCAGTTTTATTTGCAATTATTTGATTTTTCATGAAATGACAAATCTTCTGCTTCAATGGAAAGCGTCTCGTTAGTTTTCCATTTGATAAAATAATAAATGAGGTTATTTATTTATTATTTTCAAACGGCAGGCGTTTTGATAGTAATCATCAGCTCTTTAGTTGAATTCAGGCTTCACAGAGTGTAGGAACATCAAAATGAGAAAAATTCAAAAGGGAGTACAGAAGAGTGATTCTCAGATGTAAAAGAGACAGACGCAGACAAAAAGGCTCGGAAAAAGTAAGATGAATACTGTGGTAGGGGTCGAATATGACTTGCAGTTTGAAGTGAGAAGTCAAATTTCCCGTATGAGTATACATTGCTCATGTGCACCACGTGGAGGTAAGTCTATCGCACGCCCCATAAATTAAGATATAGTTCTTTCAATTTTTCCCAAATTGGCTTTTTATGAAAGGTTTTAATTCCTCATTCTCACAGTAATTTTCCTTTAGGCATGACCCTTACTAATTCTGAAAGGAATAATTTTGTTGCTTACTGTAGTGGAGAATCAATCGCACAACTGTTGTAACTGCCCAATTGATGTTTTTCGATTTATAACGAATCCTAAGTCATGTAAGTATTTAGAAGGTCAAGGCACTTTTTCGGGTCAGAACATAAAGATTCTGATCTATATTTCGAGAAAGATTTCTTCCTAAAATATAGAAGGCTAAATCAATTCTAATATTTATTGTTTGCTATTTTTAGGATCCACTAGAAAGAAAAGCTTGTAAAAAATTTCCGCTAAAAATCATGCTGTGACCAGAAACATATTATTGAGGGATTAAGTTGATATAATTTCGAAATATTGGTTGAATTGCCACATTTCATGGCAAATTTAAAATTTTTAATATTGTCCAGCTTTCTCTAGTTTCGATTTCAATATTTGATCCTTAGCTACCTGGGTGAGTATAATTCTGCATAGATACTTCTTTATGAATTGAAATGGACGGTTGGTCGTGCCCCAACGCTACCTACATCCCTTCTGGTAAATATGAAAATAAATATTATTGTGTAAAAATAATGGAAAATATTAAGATCATAGTCACTGACATTCAAGCATGAACTTTGTTAAACGTAACACTAAACAACTTGAACAAACGTAGGTATTAATTTTGACCACTTATAAACTTTCTGCATACTTGGTAAATGGACAATTAAATTAGCTTTCAATGTCTATACAGAGGGATTTTTTTATTCAATCGATTATAAATTTAAATGCATTAACAAAACTAACTACCCATTAAATAAATATTTTAAAACCTCATTGCAAAGAACAAACAATGCAATGTTGACCCTCTTTTGCACTTTAGTGAATCACAACATAGTAATACGTGAAATACGCTTCTGATAATACTTTCAAGAATTTTTAACAGGTTCCGCATACGTGGCCTTCCAGGTTGCTTTCTTTCTCGTTATAAAATGACAATTCTTCCCTTATTCTGAAGTTTTTTCACCACCCAAAATTAGTTGTTCAGAAAAAAATCTAATACAAGTTAGAGTCCATTTAACTTTCGCTACTTTTAAATTGGCAATCTAAACAAACTTAAACTTACCGTTTGACCTTTTAAATTTATTTATTGTGGAGTTAAAAATTCCCAAATTTGCAGGATAAAATTCATTTCATTAGGGAAAGGTATGTCGACATCGAGTAGAATGGAATAGTTCATCTTTCTTGTCATTACTCTGCATAATATCTACGGCTTCGTACAGATGTTTTTTATATCAAGATCAGTCTTTTCACGTGCCACCTCATGCGCCAATCAGAAAGTGCCCTAGAGCCTTACTTTACTCTCATTGGTTAACTAGCATTGAAGTGTGAACGTGTGCGAGCAAGGTATGAAGCAACATACGTGGGTGGGAAGAGGTGGTTTGAAGCAGAGGTGAATTTTTCCCCAATGGGAGAAGTCTCCCTGTTTACAGGTCGCCCTCTATAGCACTAAACCTGTACCATCGATCGTAAACACAAGCTTACAGATTTATACCTATATAAAGGACGTAGATCTTGCCTGTGATAAGTCTCTTAACAGTTATGTTAGCTACTGTTGATATTACTGTTAAGGCACCAAACATGTTCACGGCATCAAGACACGCTCAGCGCTTGGCGGGAAACTTTCTCGACGATGTCGATGACTTCCAGCGAGCTTCCAGGGCTGCAGATCGACGTGCAATGAGCCACTTTGATGATGCTGTAAGTTAACCTTTTCAGTTTTCTGCTTAATTAATCGATAATCAGAACAGATAGTGTAAAAATATGTATAAAATTGGCCTACTCAATGATTTATGGCCTTTGTAATGACTACAGACAACCACAACTTACTATACAAGTCCACGACGTAGTATGTCAGTGTCTCGGGTAGTGACAGTTCCATCGGAATACTATATCGAAGGTCCAAGATACAGATCCTCCAGTGTGGATCCAAGGTATACCTACACTACCGCAACTACCACACGACCTATTACCATGATAGGTTCGAGGCATCACGTACCTTCATCTAAATACTACCAATACCATCCACGTTACTACCATTACGATACGTACTATCCAAGATACTCTTACTACCACGATTATCCAGTCTATAACACTTCGGCTTATAAGTACTGGCCAACTGTTATACCATCCAACTTCAGTCACTACCTGCCGACAACAAGTTACTACACTCGCAACAATACGTCTTCTTTCGACTACACTCTGCCAACTTCGGGTCTTCGGGCTTCTCTCCCTTCTTGGGTACATGCCTAACTTTTCCTTATTTGTCTATTCCCCCCTCCATACTTTTATGCTCCCTCTAATTCCCTCTTTGACTATTCGGAAGTGTTGTGGTGCTTGCTTGATTAAGTAGATCTCATCTAATGGGTCGGAATCAAGAAGGAAATGAGTGTGCTATGTGGAAATAGGGCGAAAAAAAGCGTTTGACGTTGTGTGTTAAATTTTATCTCCTGTGTTGTAGGACATTGGCTATAAGCCCCTATCGCTGAATCGTTGGTACTCATATAGCAACTTAGTAAGTGGACTTGATATGATCTCGCACACAAGCATGATCTAACAGAGTTGCTTTAAATTTCATACACACATATTGCAGTTGATTCTATGTAGATATGCCATTGTTTTGTTGCATTTAACTCCGAAGATATGCATTCTTTTCGGGCTTGAATGCTCATAGAGACTTAACTATGCACATTGTTTCCTAAAATTCCACCCCCTCCCCTACCTCCCCCACCCCGACTTTAAAATACATCGCTTCTCCCTCATTTTCTGCTAATGAAATGTACGTTTGTTCGGGTGTTCTTTTGATTTGGCATTTTGCATAATGGGTGTTTTTTGTCTCTTTGTTTATCTTGATCCACCTCTACTTTCACTTTTGCTTTTTTGTACACATTTCTCATTGTACCAACTTCTTTGAAATAAAGCGCTTTTCTACCTTTCCTCATTATTCGGGAGGGTGAACATGGTGAAGTAGGAGAGAGAGGCCTTACTGTTAGACTTTTGGCTTAGAATCGATTAATAAAAATCAATTTCTATGAAGTTCCCTTTTGAATGCCAATCAACAGGTAGATCATTCAATGATATATCCGCAGGAAACCGTAGAAGTATTTGAATACCCACGACGAAGATACCGTTATGGATCTGTACCACCAATTTCACCCGCTGCGGCTGCTCAATATCGTCGGGCTGGAAGTCTTGCTCGAGTGTTTCCGCCTGTTAGATACGTCACGGAGTACTACTCAGATTTAACTGGATCAGTGCCCATCAATTCTAAATATGTAAGTTAGTTTCCACTGTGCATATAACATGTTTAAAGATAACGAATTTTTTAAAAACAAATCTTCTTTGATTGCGTATATAATCAGAACAACAAAAAAGGCAATAATATAATCAATGAAAAGTTGTACTTAATAGTAGTTGTTTAAGGAATTCTTGACTCATCTGGTATATTTATCGTCAAGTAGAAAATATTGCTTTTTGGGAAGTTACGGCCAAATTCCTAAATTGATTTTCCTTGTTAAAAAAATCGGCTAAATTCTTCTCAGTGAATCCGACTACAATTCTTGTTTAAAACCCAGTTAGCGCTTACATTCCAAATTGGCTACTTTTATTCAATTAACTAGCAAAATCAAAGAATCACCGTTATGACGAATATATATATATATATGTACATTCAAAGTTATTGCTATGGACTGAATTAATTTCTCACATGTCAAGTTATGTGAATAACTTTTGGATATGCAGCATTGTCATAAATAGAACTGTTGAGACCTATCGACCACAGTGAAGTGACAATAGGATCTAATCCCCCCTTCC